GAAGTCGTAATCGGCAGAATGACCCTCCTACCCTCCTCGGTCCCGTAAGACCGACAAGACATCTTGTGGGTTTGCAATCCTAGACGTCTACCCGACCAACTCAGATAAGGCCCCTCTGCAACGCATGAGCTGAAACAGGGAATACGGAACAATCGGGCCAATATACCAAAATTACGTAACGTCGGGCCTTGATGTCCAACACCGTGCATCACCACACTCGAGGATTAACATAATTCAGAATGAATGCCTGCATCTTCGCAAATGTATATGCGCTCATATGAAGGCACCAGTCAGAGCACTAGCGGCGCAGACTTTCTACCATCCACTCACTATGCATTCCACCCCACAGGCAAAGCACTGCGATCTCACACTAGCTGCTGTTCTGAGTCGCAGACGAATCACCTCGCAGCGAAGGCAGTGAGCCAAAACCCTTCAAATAACTTCATACAACACACCGTTTCCTGGAAGCGACAAGCTTGTTGTCTTGGCCTTGCGGGTCACCGGGGGATAACGTCCTAGTGACTCTTCAGTTCTGAAGGCTTGGAATCAGGCTGCAAGTGTGCCTTAGAACTTCAAGTTGGTTGATAGTAAGAACTGTGCTTATGATAAGAGTTTTGCGGCGGCTAGATGCAGTCATGTCGCGGTTGCATTGTGAAAACCCCAAACCCGAAGTACGAGCCGGAGCTTGAATAAATCAAAAGAAATCAGCTTGGGGAAACACGAGTGACAACGAATGTCAGACAGAGAGAGCATCATGTAAACGGCTGCAAAACCACAAGATAAGCGCAACATGCGAATCCAGAGCCCTCCATCCCAAGAAAGACTCTAGACCCTGCGCCGTGAACATCGGCCTGAGCCCTAGGCCCTAGATCTTCTTTGGTTGCTGAACCTGTCCTGGAGCTCCAGTGTCGGGTCCAGCTTCAGGGCTTGAAGAAAGACTAGTGCAATGTAGCAGGTCCATGAAGGCACCTCAGGAACCCAGAACTAGAAACAGATCCAGAACCATCCTAAAACTCGCAATCCATCTGCTCATTTGCTACGTCGAAACCTGAACTCGACAAAGCCTGAAAGAAACCCCAGACAATGCACCCACAAACGGAACCCAAAGTCTGGATGTTGGGTTTCAAGGCCCGGAATCCGCACGGTGTCCAAGCAGCGGATGAGCTGGACCATGTTGGGCGGGAATGGGCAAGTCACATGAATCCTTGAGGGCATGCAGGCTGCAGGCTCTGGTCTTTTGAACTTCTAAGCGTCAGTGTTGTGTGCTTCTTAAAATCTTGGATTTTCGGTGACACGGTTTCGGATGTGGTCTCCAGCATTGACCAGCCCCAGAACGATCAAAGTCTGATTCGTCAGGGCCTAATGCCCCTATTTCAGCATCTGCTGTTCTGCTTGGCCGTCGAATTCAGGCCCTACCACCTTGCTTGGCATATTCTCCCGGACACAGCTGATCCGTGCACCAACCTTTGGAATCGAAGCACATCCCGTCCATCAGAGGGCCTCAGGTTCGGGTTCGGGTCAAAGCCAAAGCTTCAAGCAAATGGAGTCACAAACAGAGTGCTGCAAGAAGCAATGCAAGTACATAACATCATCCTTACTATCACCAGCAACACGATAGAGTCTGAATGACATTGAAACAGATTGATCGACACATATGGAAATCTAGGTCTTGCAGGAGCTGGAGGGCTTTTGAGGGCTCCGAACTCAACTGTAAATTGAAGAGCAATTGAAACTCTCGCAATTTAAATGCGCATCTGCTTGCAAGAACTCTCCAATTGCGGATGCTCCATGTTGAACTCTATTCTTGTCTCCCGAACCGAATCTCCGCGGCGTCTTGCCGGTCTCTGGCACTGTTATGCTGTGCCTGAGCTTCGGTGGAACATTGTAAACTGCTCTCAAGAATAAGGCAAGCGCCACAGGGTCTTCAGAGAAATAGCGTGCACAAGCGATGCAGTTTTACTGTCGCCATTCAGGAATCTGCTTGTTTCGAGGCCAGACCAGACTGCTCTCTCTCCACTTTGGGCCGAGTGTTTCAGAACGGACAATGGTTGCTAAGTGCAGCCGGTTGCAAAACCAGCACCCGGAGTGATGCAACACTATAGGCCACAGCGACATGACCCAGACCAAGTCGCAAATGGAGTAGCACCCGACGAGGCAGCTTCACACCATGCGACTCGAAGTACTGTCGGGTGGCCCGCTCGTAATACCTCTGACAGTTTGTTGACCAAGCAGCGACGCATGAACGGCTTTACAGCTAAGACATGCATTCCTATAAGCGACGACAAGCATTAGGCAGTGAATGTGGATCGACCGCAGCAAGTTTCATCAAACCAAACGCAACCTCAACCCTCAAGGACCGCCCGACCATTTTCGGGGTGGGTCAAATTCAATTCGCAGCTTTCTACACCACACATGTGCATTCATGACTCTTCCGACGTCCAACTATTTGGCCATCAATCACGTGCGCTACCAAGGCCTGTTTGGGCGATCGTGAGCTAAGCTTATATTGTACAGTCGATTGTTGAGAGTGGAAATGCTCGGCTCAGGGTTTAGAGACAAGCCTTGAAGCTTCCGAGTGCTGAAGGATTTAGACCGAAATGGTGGGGCCATGACCCATGAAATAGACACTCTGCATCTGCCCAGCTGAGTTGCTGATCGCCCAGTATTGGAAAGGAGATGTTTCCTTGCATCCGCAGCGTAGGACTTCAGCATTGGCTATGCAAAGCGTTTGATGAGCCCGTCGGCGAAACTCTTCCGTGATGCAAGTAGGCTGGACACGAAATATGCATGACTTCAACTGTGGAGCGTGCCACAGGTGCTGAACTTCGAGAGGGTTTATCGACTATCGGGTTCAAGAGCCTCAGAAGACGGATTCATAACAACCTCAATTCCTAGACTCCTCAACCGCATCGGCAGACCTCAGCAGGCAAACGACACTCAACAGCCAAGTAGGCTTGGGCACTCGGGTTTATGAAATTAAACGAACGGGAGAATGGGAGTGTAGGTGTGGATAGCCTGCGTGTATGGGTGCGCTGCAGTTTTGAAGACACAATCAAAACAGCTTGGATTTCTGGCAAACTGAACGCGCAAACCCCCACTTTCCAAACTGGACTGGGATAATGGATACGGCTCGAATAGCTCGCCTGTCCATAGACCACGATGCTCGTGGCATGTTCAAGAACTCAGTTTCTAGAACTCTGCTATGCAGGACCTTGACCCAACGACACAGCCCCTTGGTACTACGCCATATCAGAGTGGCACATTGAAGCTCTCCACGACGCGCCCCAGCCACCCTGTAACGACCATCACCTTGTGCCCAAGCCGCGCAGGTGACGGCGAATCTGGTGGTACCGGCCAGTTCTGGGTGCAACACGGACCTTGACCCAAAACAAAGTGACAGAGAGACACCGACAGAGAGGCCCAGAACTGCTGTTCAAGGTCCAGTTATCCACCATGAAACACTCCCGCGTGTACTACGAAAGCAATGCGCACCACAAAAGACAGTGGACAGGCAACCACAGCAGGACTATGCCAGGGAACGCTCTCCTTGTCCCGTGTCCACAAGAGAAGAGCCGAAACATTCCGAACCCAGCGACTGCTAGAACTCAAATGACAGGCGAAGACGAGTCACGAGGCAACAATCAGGATCCTTGCTGCCGAACAGGACCTCTGCCTCTGTCAGACTTGGCTTCCTGAAGTCATAGGGCTTTCGCCAGCAGATCGAGATTCGAGACTCTGGGGTTGAAAGGTTGGACTGCATCCTCAGGTGAAACCCGAAGTGAGCCCCATGTCCTGAAGTCTGAAGATGTCCGAAAGCAGCCCAGCAAGAAACATCCTCAACGTGCAACACGCTTACCCGTGAGACCTGACACAAACAATTTGCTTTCGGTTCAGAGGCTTAGCCTTCAATGTTGTAAACGGCCAACCTGCTAGTTGGGCGCGCGCATTCAATCCCGAATGCTACGACTTTCAGTCTAAGTCAGAAAGTCTAGGGCTACCTAGCTATGGGACTTAACAGTTAATCACTTTGAGGTTTAAGTCTCAGAGTCTGCAGGAACCAGACTGTTGAAGACTGCTGCCTTACACTCTCTCAAATACCTACAGACGTCGCTGGAATGCGTGATTAAGCCAAAACACACAAGGCCCAACAGAAGCCGAACAATCTAAGACTAAAGCCCTAGATGTGCAGCCAAGCTTCAAGTTCTCCTTCCTCGACCGACCGAACGGCCTGACAAAGTCTTGTGGCCAAGCTCTCGGATATGGAGTTTCAGGCCCGGATCAGGGACAATTCCCACACGTGCTGTGCTGCCAACCTCTTGTCTTGCAGCGGCCGGTCGATCCAGAAAGGCCCTGTGCTGAGGGTTGCCAAGAGGCCCGAGCTAAGCTACATCCCAGGTTGACCGGCGGGACAAGCTGAAACTCTCAACTGCCCTCTTCACATCCCTTCATTTCAAAGTCTTGCAGCCGAACAACGACTTCTGCAACAAGGGCGTGGTCTCAAAATGCTTTCGTGGATTTCAGGGCGACAAAAGCGCATGTTTTCGAAGGGTCCATGACGAAAACTCTACGTGGGCCCTGTAAGAGACTGTTGAAGCGTCCTAGGGTCGGTTGAGGTAGATCTTTCCTAATCCCAAACAACCGAGGACAGCCAGACACTCCACAAATCGTGATACAAAAACTCAACCCCTAAACAACCAAATCTGGAACTTCCTCAAACATCGCTGGATGTGGGAACAGTCGAGTCTTTGGCTGAGTCGTTGCGTATTCGAGCGTCTCCAAGGTCCAAGCTGCAGGCAGACTGCTTGTAGACCCAGAAACAGAAGAGATTTGTTGAGAAGAGACGAGGTGAGATTTACGCATCCAACATCAACACTACTTGCCGCAACTGGGCTTCTTCAGTAATCCGAAACCTTGTGCGACCTCCGAGCCCGGTCCTTTACGTCTGAAGCTTGAAACTCGACACTCTACATTCCCTAAAGCCACATTGACAGCCGTGTCACCCCGATTTAGGTACTCCTCGCCACTGTTGCGGCAAAGCCTTTGGCAACATTGACTTGGGGGCCGGGTTCGTTTGATTTGCGTTGCTGCCAACCGAACATCCCCACGATCTAATTCCCATGCCGGGAATTCTTGGACGACATTCTTGGAGGACTCATGTTTTCATGATTCGAGCCCGCCAGGCTACAGGAATCGGACTGCTTATAGAGGCCAAAAACCGGGACTCGGCAAGGTACACATGTGCAAGACGCCGCCAACCGGGTCGCTGACGCGTAGTAAACCTTGGAGATATTGGTGCCGCCGAGCACCTGGCTTCTTATCAGGCGTCAAAAATGAAGCATGGTGTGTGCTCACTTCGGGGCATGCACCGTGGAAACCGGACGAAAACCTCAACCTGAGTCATCCTGGGCCTACTAAGTTTGCTAAGCTTGACGAGGCGCGCATGCAGTCTCGGGGTCCCTGGCCAGCAAGGAGAGGCCGCTGACAGTTCGGTCGAGACGGCCTGGACGGCGCGGTCTCGGTAGATGCCGAGTCGCCGAGACTCTTGAACGCACCACAAAGGCTCTTGGAGTGTCTTGAGCAGGGTGTTTCAGAATCAGAATCCTAGATGCAGTTTTCTTCGACATCAGGTCTCGTCGTTGACTGCGGTATGGAGGTGTTGAAGATCTCTGACTTGATAAGCAGAATGATCAGAAGACCCTAGTGACAAACAACTACATCTCGACGATATTTCTGGGCAGTTCGGGATCTCGACAAGCATCTCAAGCAATCTTGCAAGCATTGCGAAACAGGAGTCGAAAGCCCCGCGTTATATGCGCACAACCCATGCCCCAACAAAACTTTCTACTCCTGACCGATTACATTGGGAGGCATGCTGGGATTCTTTGCCAGATGCTTCTTCTTCCTCTCCGTTTGTTGCTTTGTTTCTCCTTTGCTCGCGGTCTCTAATCTCCATCGGCGACTTTTGCACAGTCAGCCTGTGCATGTGTCTGTCACGGTCACTATCATTCCCGAGCTGCTATGTCTGCTCGACTGTGTGTGTGTGTGCGCGTGTCTGTCTTTCTGTCTTTGTGTCTGTCCTGGCGTCTGTTTGCGCGTCTTTTTGTATCTGTTTGAAGGGGTGTGTATGTGTGTGTGTGTGTGCGTTTCTTTTCTTTCTGTGCGCGAGTCTGTGTATCTGCCTGTGTGTGTCTGCCTGTATGTCTGTGTGTCTGTCAGAGTCTGTTTGATTGTTTCAGTCTGTGAGTGTCTGTTTGCGTCTGTTCGTGCGTCTGTGTCTGCCTGTCTGTTTGTGTGTGTGTGTGTGTGTCTGTCTGTCTGTCTGCCCGTCTGTTTGTGTGCACGGGTATGTATGCTTCTGAGCGTGTCGGCTAAATGGCAAGAATATGCAAGAAAGACTGAAAGGAAAGGCTGGCCCGGCCGCGCGCGTGCACGCGGTCTGTGCGTGTAAGATATGTACAGATACGTATGTACAGATGTACACATAGCACGCCATCCATGCCTCTACAGATGTGTAGATATGAGAAACTAGTTTGAGGCCCCGGCCAATAAGGTGGAGCTTTTGTCGCAGCGTTGTTTTGGCACGCCCAATCAAGGAGAGACCTTCTTGCGGCGCAGAAGCCACCACTCCTACACATCGACAGCTTTGACCTTGACCATGGATTCTGTTGCGTTTCAGCCTTATGCAGGGGCTTCAGAAGCTCTTGCACTCAATATGCCATCTCAAAGTCGAGCGTAGGGTTAGCGTTTGCAGCGCTTCAGGACTTAGAGTTTTGGACTGAAGATTTAGGGCTCGGAAGTGCAATCCGAAGCTTCAGTGAAAAGGTATGAGAGGCAGCGAGGCAGAGTTCTTTGCCCTTTGCCAAACCACATCCCAGGCACTCCGAACTTCTGAACTGTGTGCTGCGCCTAGCTTGCAGCAAGGATCAGCAGCGCGCCTTCTGCTTGCTTGCTTTGCTGCATAAGCTCGCGGCTCCAATGGGCTGCCGTTCCGGAAGGGTTGTACCTTGGCTGCACCGCCCTTAGGCTGTTTTTAAAGGTTCCTTCGGCCCAAACTATTGCATGGGAGCATGTGGTCTACAGTTTCATCTTTTGTTGTTGGATTTTTGTCTAGGGCTGACGTTGTTGGTTTGGCAAGTGGTTCTGCCTGAGTGTCATATCGAGTACTCAACCAGGAAAGCAAGGAGGGCGCCGAACCCGCTCCCCGGAACCCTTATCCGAACAACGATATCTTGTTTATACAATAAGGTTGAGAAGCGACCGTTTGGGAGCTGGTGAACAGTGTGTTCAATACCTGTCGTACATGGCCAAAGACCTCTCTGCTTGTTTGTGTACATATGAAGAGAGAGCGAGAGAGAGAGAGAGAACGAAAGAGAGATACAGGGAGGGAGAGAGAGAGCGAGAGAGAGAGAGAGAGAGAAAAAGAACGAGAGCGATGGGGAGAGAAAGGCGCCAATGCCACAGAAGTCTCCTGCCTTCAACTTCGTGTGTCTCAAGCCTGCGGCTCTACTCCCACCTATCGCAAACCCAAACATCCCACAAGCCAGAACCTCAACCCAAAGCGATACACCACACAGTCCCACACCATGAACCTAGTACTGGGCTGAGGCCGAGCAGCAAAACAGCCCATGTGGGCCCGAGGTCCTCAGGCGGAGTCTGAGAGGGCAGGGCCTGCAGGGCTCAAGGTTAATGAGATACAATAAGCTTCTTGAAAAAGAACTTGGAATCTGAGAAGCGAATATTCAGAATCAGGTTCGGTGGTGTTTGCACTAGAAAACTTACGAGATACTCAAGGGCAGGAGACCGGGCCACATGACAGTTAAGGCAGAGAAAGACGTTAAGGCAGAACCTTTAGCTTGCACAGCTGGGATGATGTCAAACTCTCCCCTGAGCACATCTGCACACCTCACATCGTCTTCAAGGACTCGCCAAGGAGCCAGCACTGCTGCCTCCTTCGGACCCAGGTCCTCGGTTAGACTCGGCGGATGTCCGCTGCTAGATGTATCGTCTTGAGTGAAGAACCTTTCGACAGAGCAACTCGGCAAGTAGACATGCATTCCTGCATATCTGCATACGAGTGAACACATGGGCAAAGCAGCAGGACGAATGTGCCTTCTTTGGCCAAGAACCAATAGGCCCACGAACTGCGTCGTAGCTGGTTTCGCAAGCACAGGAACTAGTCGGGGAACACAGAGAGAAGGAGTGATGAGAGAGAGAGAGAGAGCCAGCGAGACGGGGACTTTGTGGAAGTGACGACAGAATGCGGAAGCAACTGACTTTCGTTCTGTCGCAGTATAGACATGCAGATGCTATTCCTGGGCCTAGTTTGGAGCTGGATTCGTAGATGGGCTTTCACTGGAATGGCTCAAGACTAGTTCACGCATCTTCCAACCGATTGGGATGTCAGTCTAAATTATCCTTGTAGCTGTGCCAACTGTCACAAACTTGCTTGGCGTTTGCTGCGTCCTTTGTCCTGAATTACATATGAGAATTAGATGCCTTCAAGATTCAATGCAACTGCAGTCCGCAACGAGTTTTACCCTTAACTCTCTACCTCAATGGGCCTGGTTTGAGCCGGAACTTGACCTTGGCTCCTCGCGGCATCAACACGCACTGCACAAACCTAATCCAGGTGTGCCCCGCGTAAAGGTCAAGGCTCTGGGTACATGTCGTCCAACTCTGCTGGCCCGAGCAGCTCAGTCTGGGCACGTGCAAGATGCGAGAGCGAGAGTGCATGTTTGGGATGGGCTGAAGGGCAGGCATGGAGCATCCGCATGCGGCTTACAGTGCTCATCACACAACCTTGCATCCAAAGGTCAGGGTCTAGTCCAGGAAGGTCGACCCTTCTGCCAACCCTGTCCAGCTAAACCCGTCCCAAAAGGGCCTGGCCAACGACATCTGCTCCACCTCTTCTAAGTATTCTCCTGATGGCATTACAGCGCGCAAGATTCAGCGTCTGGCTCAGGGCTTGCGATGCAAAGCAAGCGTCAAAGTGCAAAGCCGACCCACTCCAACTAAACCAAACTCGTCTGAGCCCGACGAAGAAGTTCCACGATGCAGGCCTGGGAGGCGGCGAACCGAACCGTGTGACCTGCACCAGAGGCTGAAGGAGGAACAACGGGGATCAGGAAAAAGGGCACAGGGGCGTGTTCGAGGCTTGGGTTCACTTAAAGCGCCTTGGATTTAGGGTTGTGGTTTCAAGCCTTCTGGCCATGCAAAACCGAAGGCGATAGCATGGGATGTATGATTTCCTCTGCCTGGTCCGTCTGCTGCGCTTTCGTAAGCTACTGTCGTCCTTGGTTCAAAGCTCAGTGCATTTGAGTCTCCGCTTCGATATCGCGAAAGGCTGCAGCGAGTGAAGGGTAGTGCCTGCTCTACAAACGTAGCGAATCCGGACTTCTCGAATAACATGGCTTCAAACCTTCCGATGGTCGAAGAACGCAGTCGCTATGTCGGAGTTTGAAAGGTGAAAATTTAGTACTGGAATCAAGGCTACTATAACACAGAGCAAGCAGAGAGCCATTGACCTTAGTTTTCTCTTCTTTCTATTGACTACTGCTCTCTCTGGGAGTCTGGTTAACAGGATCGATATTGTCACGGTCACGTGCTTATGCTGCTGCCATTATCGCGAATCATCTAGTGTTGCTATGAGTCATGTCTCATTTTCCTCTTCATCTAGTCATGTCTACTAGCACAAGCCTCGTTACCCCTATCGGCCACTATTCCAGCTTGAAGCCCTAAATTCGAAAATGCGCTGCAGCAAGCTGTACGAAGAAGGTGTGGATTCACGTCGCCTGGCGTGGTCCGGTAAACGCACCCAGGGAGACAAACGCGCCAGTGAGCAGCAGCAGCAGCAGCAGCGTCCTTGAGCAAGGTCCGTCCGTTTCCGCTTGCTCAAGAGTTTGTGTTGTTCGCGGGCTGGCGGTTTTGCGGGAAGAGAGGGCTCGGATATGCTCAGATCTTATGCAGCCTCAAGTGTGCGGAACGCGAGTAGGGGTATATGGCATGCATTGGAAAATGGACGTACAACAACATAATCTCTCTTTGTTGCTTGCACATACCAAAATCAAGGCGATCCTTCTGGCGATTTCGTTGCTCTATGAACCAAGGCTCATGCACTGAATCACGCATAGGTTCCCAGGCTTTCCAGTGCAAGGATTTGGGTACTGGTTCTTCGAAAAAGCACGCCGGCGGAAGCCATTGCATGACGATGTCGGGTTTCAGGGGTCGCTGCTGTGTATGCACGCACAACAGGCGGACCTGAAACTCGTGGAAGTAGAGCTGCTGAACTCCCAAAATCTTGAACGTATCTGAAACAACAATTTTTATGGAGCCATGAGTAAGGCATTCCACCAAGGTTGAGTAAGGCCCGAAATCTGCTGCAGCCACTAGAGCGCCACCTCGACATCCAGATTCGACAAGAAGCTCCAGAAGGTTTCCTTGTAAGGATTTATAAAGGCCACAACCCGGCCTGCGCGCCCAGCCGTGCAGGAAGACGTGCTTCATGGTGCTTGGTCGGAATTCGTGGTGGAGGGTTTTCGGATTTCAACTTTTGAAACTTTGGTCCTTCGTTCTTCCTTAGTTTGTGTAGCAAGAGTGTATCGGAACTATCCTGCTACAGTACCACCGGCTGTCTTGAAGCGGAAGCCAGGAAGGGCTTTGTGCTTCTTGCAGGCTTTGGAAGTGCTGTTTAGAGTGCTTGCGGTTGGAGGAGACTAGTCTTGCATCAGGGTTTCATGCCCGGGGTCGAAGATGTATGCAGCCGACAATTGGCTATCGCCGGTCTGCAAGCTGCGAAACGCGGCCGGAACAGCCAATGGCTACGCGACACTCATGCACTCGGTGACGTGGAGGAAGAGGCATCGCACTCCAGTAAAGAACTCCACCATCTAGCTTAGGATTACATAAACCCACAACATCTGACACAAAGCCGAACATAGCGGATTCTGTGCTAGGTTGTCATGTCAGTCTTGGGCCAGGAACGTTCCAAGAAACCGACAGGTCTTGTCTTGAGACTTAGAAGACTCAACGTTGAGGCTTTGCGCGTCGTCCGTCGAGAACTGCAACTACCCAGACTCATGAGAATGGACCGTCTGTTTCCTCGCGCGAATCGCGGAAAGGCACAAGGCCCGGTCCGATGGGGTGATGCTGCCCACGAAGTGGGTTTGTTTGAAGCCTGATGCGACACGCTGTCGGCTGTCGCCGGGAGCTCACCCCAAAGGAGCTTGCGAGCCTTCGGCCGACAAGTTGCCGGCCAAGGTCTTGTGAGTTGTGTGATACGTCTTTGTCTTCTATTCCAAAGCTCAGGAGACCTGGCTTTTCTCATGCTCTTGGACGCTTTGTGACACCCCAAACCCCCAAATTTCAAGGGCCTATGCTAAACCACACATGCGAAGCCTCGGACAGTAGCATGAAGTCCTTTGCGACAAAGGCCTGTGTGCACTGTGTTCTAAAAGCATATTGACAAGCACAGGAATCCAGGAGAGCAGCATCTAAGAAGAGATGAGACATCGAGAACAAAGCCACAACGGTTTGCTGCATCGAAGCTGCAAACCAACCACATGCACATGGAAGTTTGCAGCAGGAGTATGGTTGCGTGGCATATGCGGGAGGGGTAAGCAACTGCTATTACCAACGCGCAAGCTTTAACATGTGCCGTTTTGCGAGCATTGGTGTAGCAACAACGGTAGGAAGACAAATAATACGAGTGTCTACTGCCTCATGGCCTCTAGAAGCTGGACTCGATCTTTCTAGCTGCAAGAACAATCAACTCGCACCAAGATCCATTGAATAAAGCTGCAATAACAATCGTGCTTTCTGTTCCTTTTTTATCACGACACTCCAAACAATCAGTTCGAGGGAGAAGGAAAGGCCACCCCCCCCATGACTAGGTGCAAACCCCACGCATTGACCCTGTACCAACACTCAACACGCTACAAGCAAACCGTAGACCAACAAGATCA